AGTTTTGAAAAAAATAGATATAATTAAATTATATCTATTTTTTTCAAAACTCATAATAAAATTGTATTATTATCTCTAAAAATATGTTCTGTTGTAAAAGCTTTTTACATTAATATTAACTTTTTATCAATAAAAATTCTGTTCTGTGATATCAGGATAATTTTTTGTTCCTATTTTAGATAATATTTTTTATTTATATTTGTCACATTTATTACATTTATGAGCGCATTCATATTTAACATTGTGTCCTATAAATATCAGCTACATGATAATTCATAATTGTCATCTCTCTCTGTACATCGAAAATTATGAGATAACTCATATTCAGCAATCAATATGCTCGCTTTTAATTTACATTTACATGCAAATGATTAATATTTATTTGTAATGCATATCTACGCGTTTAATCAAAAATCATTTATTTTCCATTTCAAGAGAAAAAACCCCTTTTAATCATAGAATATTCCGATTGTGTATATACTTTTATTAATCAGAAATGAGACATTTCCCTTTCTAATTTTAGCATGAGTACAATCGGTGATTTTATGTGCAGATACAACGTGTACGTTGAATATGGGAACGACCCTACTCGCTATAATATTCATTGTGGTATTGTTCGCAACTGCAAATAATATCAACGAACAATGCCAAGTTCATAATGAAAGGTGGATTACGTGTACCTGCATCGGAAACGAGGTATACTGATTAACATCTCTATATCATATCACCATCTCTGTACTTCGCTTATTTTGATTTTGTTTCAACAAATGCTTATGCATTGGTCTATCTTGAAATAAATTATCAATTTGTATAGACAGTCACTTGCCAATAAAACAGATTTATTTTTTAATTTAAACTAATATTTAGTTTATTGTTTCACTTATTTTGCGAGATCGGGACTAAAAATCTCAATATCTCAACATTTTTACGGCGACTTTCTTTTTTTATCCCATTTTTTTTATTAGCTTTAAAATAACATTATCGTTTACAGTGTACGTGGTGATAATTACTTCTTCGTAAAAATATTAAAGTAAAATAAGTATATAAAATAATAAGAATATAAAATAAGTGAACATAAAATAATTCAAAATGTAGTGTCCTTAATTAGATTTAATTTTTTAGGAATTTTTTCTACCAGAAAACTACAATTACATAAACACTCTCAGCGTGTCGGTCACAGGATGCGTTTCAGCGAACCTCCATTACGCCAGTTTTCCGGAGGCGAGTAATATCGAGGAAGTAATAGTTCAAAATATCAGTGGTAGCCTGAATTTTGATGCCTTCTTTTCGTCAAGCCGTATGAAACTGTTGAAGCTCTCGAACATTGGTCGGATACCGATGATAACAAGTTACACGTTCAGAAACTTGAAAGCTATTGATACGCTTGCAATCGAGAATACGCTTATCGAGACTCTCGAGGAAGAGTTTGCCTACATTAATATCTCACACTTCGTCATGATAAACGTTACGATCGAGCGAGTGTCCTGCCTAAACGTCTCCGAAAAGGGCACGAAGTTGCGTATAGTGAATAGCAAACTGCATAATGTTATGGAAACCTTGAATTTCGCCAATTTCTTAAACATCGAGATCATTGGCTCCAAGTTCGAAATGCAGAAACCGGGGCTAATGTCCATCCAAGGCGATGTCGCCATCGTAAAAAACAACATTTTCTCAAATGTGAGCATGAACTTAGTCACCACGACTACCATTGTGATAAATGGCATTTGCGCGGATGGCAAGAGCACTCTGAGGCTCAGTTCGAGGAGCATTGATAGCACAGATAACAGACTACCGAATGAAATAGCTTATCCAGGAAACGATCAGCGTGAAGACCCTCTCACAGAATTTCTCACGATTCGAAATAATACGGTCTGCAAAGCAGGCAATTGCAAATGTTCAATAAATAGCGGACAAGCTTCGTGTCCTATCCGCGTCAATACGATTTACATTTTCTTGTTAACAGAGTTCATATTTATACGCTATCTTTAATGCCTTTACTATGTTGTAATACTAACATATGATCTGAGTCTGGCTAGATAAAACCGATTCGTGAAAAGCCAATCTCGATTCAATATTGTGAGTCAAAGTATAAAATAATTTAAAAAAATGTAAACAGCATTTAAATATTTCTAGACATTGAATCATGTGATTATACTATAGACACTGGATAACTTAATAATAAAGTGCAGTTGCTTGAAACAAGAAATTCGGATTCATTTCTGTATTCTGCGATTTCACATATGATAAGATAAAAAATTTTATATAAAGAAGTATAAAGAGAAACAAAAATAAGTCCGATAATAACACTGGATAAGTAATGATATTTGCATTTTCTGTGAAGAACGAAAAATCAAATAAATATTGCGTTGTAATGATATAATCTTGGTTTTCCTTCATGAGTTATAGAGAAAAACATATACAATTTGCCAAATTTTTAAGCTATTTTCTTGTTACATTTTAGTAACAATCCTCCACTTATTCCATTTAGTCCTCAATCAATTCTTTGTTTAACATTAATTATATATGTAAAAGGAACCTACTTTGAAAAAAAGCCTTTAATTAAGTAAATATTCAAATTTTTATTGGCCTAGTCCGGTTTCTTTTTGATTGACCTGTATATTCTTATTTTTTCAAAAATATAATTACAAGTATAGAAGGAAAAAGTAGGTAAAAAGAACAGATCTAAAACATGAAATGTATATATAAGTTAGGAAATCACAAAGCACCTTTATATTTCATTCAAAAAAATTTTAAGCAAAATCTTTCTAATATACAAATTAACAAAACTTATTCAAAATACTTAAAGCTCTGTTTTACAAAAAGCAATATTACTACAAAATTCCGTATTGTTATTATTAGGAATATACACAATTATTAGGAGTATACACACTTTTTCATGTATGTCTAAGTTATAAATAAATTATAAATATCAATTACATTTGATGCTCAAATATCTGCATTAGTCCAAGCTCCAGATGCTTCAATATGTAAAGCAATTCCAGTTTGATGTAATTCCAGCGCTTCTTTCAGATTATTAATTTCTTCCAACATTTGCCTATTGTTTTCTTCCAAACGACAAATAGTTTGTTTATACGAAATTAGCTCCTTCTCATGCATTTTTTGTAATAATTTATCTCTTGGAGTAAAAGAACCTATATCGGCAAAAAAATCATTGTACATTATCTTAAATTTTATTACATACGATATGATTATGATCATATTCACCTCTACTAGCACAATTCATCAATGATATATTCGTTAAATATTAGTATGTATTGAAGATATATTAGATCAATATATTGCGTTAAATTGTACTATTAGAAATGGTATGCATTAAGCACCAAGCATGTTCTGTGCAACATGTATACAAAGTATTTTCTATAATTATATAATAAGTTGAATGTTAATCCTTGGCCACTAAACAATTCGCTATGCAACAAAGTTGAACTGATTGCATTCATCGTTGTGCAAAGACAATTTTATTTGAGAATAGTGAAGCTATTCATTAACTAATTAAAATTCAGATAGATTCCGTATATTATAATATTGTATATTATGTAAAAAAAAATATAAAACAAAAACCATAGTCACATATTTAAAAAAAAAATTAATAACTGAAACACGTGATATCAACTAACCAGCAGACTTTTGTAACTGCTCTTGGAGCTTCTGACTACTTTGCGTGATTCTTCTTATTTCATGCTCGTGTTGAGTTTCTTTAAACTGAATTTGTTTCTTTAGTTTTCGTATCTGTAAATCAGACATTATATTTTAATTTTTGTAAATTATTCAAATCAATCAATACTAGTTTTATTTTAAACAAATCGTACCTCGTCTCTTTCCTGCTTCAGATTACGTGATGTATCTTCACATTTAACATTTAGTCTTCTTTCTCTTTCCTCTGCTTTGCATATCATATGTTCTTTCTTTTGTATATCTTCCTTCAGACGCTTTATATGATTCTATCAATAAATTTATAATTACACACTACAATTTAAAATTATATCTTAAGTAGTATATTTAATTTTCACATACTTACCAATCATTTTACTGTGCAGCGTGGAATAATATAAAATGTCTCAGTACTTATTCATGTTTTAAGTAAAAACAAACTCACCTTAAGATTAACATTATCATTAACAGTTTTATGATTTAAATCAATCAATTGATCGTGCAATCGCATTAAGTATCTATGTTTATGTATCATTTTCCATGCAGCATTTATTACTTGTACGGATAGGTCTTTCAATGATTCTAAGGTTTGCAAATCATTATTTGTGGTTACCGATGAGATACCGAATGATTCAAATTCCTATAGATTTAAACATCAATCAATATCAAGTTTAAGCATATGTTAATAAGATTGTTGGCTATGTCTATCTCATTACTTCATTCAGTGTATTCAAAGACTGCTGTAAATTATCTTGTTTACAGAATGCAGTTTCTTCACTAATACAGTTGTTTCGTACAGCAAACATACTTCTCAGATCTCTCTTTAGGTAATTACCAGTCGAAATTGCACTCATATTTACCTGCACACATATTTTTGAATCATTTATATTGTAAATAAATATAAAATTTAATATTGTATAAAAATTGTATATCTCTTACAAAGTATATATAAAATATTAATAAATAAGCATATTCAAGCCTATATATAAAAATATGGTCATTTTGTAGAAGACAGCATATTTTTCACTAAAATGATGGACTGTTTCAAATAAAATTTAGTAATTACTTATATTTTCTTAATTATTAGAATTTTTATCAAAAGAAGGATACACCAAAAAATTATATTATATGAATTTCTCTAAATAATATTTCACAATGACGATAAATGATATATGTTCATTAAAAAATTAATATTTGCATTTATTTTTGCGCTTAATTTATATCAATCAAATAAGATGTTTCATAATTATATACATATATACAATCATTATCTTAATTAAGAAGATTGATCTCTTCCTTGTATTCCTAACCTCAATCATTCCTTTTTAAATGCATATCTCTTTCCCAGATATTTCATCTTAGATTAATTTCCAGTCCCTTTTAATCATATTGTTACTTACTATAATGTTCTTATATATTATAACGTCCTTTTTGATTCATTGCACGGATATAACTTTGTTATTCTCTCCGATGCTCCTACACCTACACAACAATCCCTTACGATAACTATCCGAAATGTCTGAAACCTAAACTTTATACTTTACCCTCTTCGGTGGCTCTCGCGCATGTCCACATTCTAGATTCCCCTCTCTCTTTTACTCATTCTTATTTCCAAACAGATATATCGAATATGTGTATTCTCATAATTTTATGATCAAAGAAGATACATAAATGATGATCATTTTTGAGAAAAGATGTGTAAAATTTCTAACTAAAGCCAAGTTTTTTAACAAATTATTAATTATTTAATAGTTAATGACAATTACAAAAAATTTTATTAACTTATTATCCTTATAGAAATGTAATTAACACTAATACTGATTAATTAGTCACTTATTTTCAGTATTAAAAACATTATTAATAATATTTTTAATACTCAAAATATAAATTTCTATAAAGGTAGATAAAGATGTTATCTCTGATTTCTAATTAGAAGATTTAGCTTTCTTCTTTAAATTAATTATATTTTCTAGAATAATTTATATTATAATTCTATCCTATAAAATTTCTAACGCAAATTATATAATGATGGTAATCGTTTAAAGTGGGATTTACAGAAGAAAGATAAATGAATTATATGTATTCGTGATTTATTGATCACAATACGTGCACCCCATTACAATTGACGCGCGCGTCAATCTATTTATCATATACAGTTTTATCAGAATTACAAATAGAATTTACAGATTTAGTTATAGCGTGTAATATCATTTACATTCTCTAACAATTACTATCACAATGTTTTTATTGCACGTCTTATTCTATTAATAAATATATTTTTCTTTCTGCTAAAAGACCTCTCGCATTTATTCCTAAAGATAATTCAAGACTGATTCGAACACGCTACATTTATAAACTTTGAATTAAAAATTCTCCGTTCTTTGAATTATAAAGGCTATTCTTCCTCTCTAAGCCTTAATCAAAGAAATGATTTTCAAAATCAATTATATTTTGCTCATTCCATAAATTTTCTTTGCAATTGAAATTTGGCATTATGATAATAATCACTTTTAAATAATTAAATTTTATTTAAACTATGAAATTAATTTACTATTCAATTTCTTTTTAATATTATATTTTTTAAACTTGCTTGCACATATTAAACACATGTAAAACGCTTATTAAAATACATTATAAAAGATAATATTTCAAACAATTAAATAATTTACATATACACACACAAAGAAACACGTGATCTGCACCTCTATAAATATTCCTTCTCATAATTACATCTCTTTATAAGAGTTTGTATATCACAATTACATATCTCTTTGTAAGAGTTTATAATTACATAATTGTAATTTATTAAATTTCGTTTGATCATGTTTCATGAAAATACGATCGTTAATTTATGAAAATTGAAAATAATTGACTTTTATTAAATCTATAATAATTGTAATATTTAGAAATTGATAGAGAAATTTATGAACCTTTTACATCAATTTAGTTGCTATTTAAATTTAAATTCATAACAGTTTTAAGATTAAAATTGAACATATGAGTAATTAATCAAATTGAATATAAAAATATTAATAATTAATCAAATCTATATGGGAAATTATGTAATCGCAGAAAAGTGAATCTTAAATACATGGCAAGGAATACGATTAAAATTCGCTCGTACGTTCTATTTATTAGGAAAAGTTAAGATTTTTTTAAAAAAAAGTATGCATGTCATTTTTAAATTACCCGCATTTAATTATAAAAATACACCATACTTTTTCAATACTTAAACACGAACTTGTTATCGAACTGTTGTTTAATCATTTCCGTTGCCGTGAATCGGGTAAATTCTAAATCGCGAATAGAAGATATCTTAATATTATTCATGTAAATTGAAAACAGACTAAATATGAGTCAATAATCATTTCCTTGACACGTGAACAAACGAAATTAAATCTGACGGTTAGCTTGGCGTCTATTTGAAAACAGAGATATTTAAACTATATTTGTATACATGTGTGTACAAAACATATGTATTACCTCTCCCTGCTTAGTTATCTTTGCAGAGACCATATATCCGGCCATTGTTCGTTGAACTAATTTCTCATGCGAAACAGCTGCTCGATTAGACATTAGACAATGAAACGATTGATCCGGATGATGTTATACAATTTTTTTTCTTCATAGACAGAATAGTCTCAAATCAGGACTTGTTTGCGATATTTAGGCACACATCTACGAAGAAAGCAGGAGGGTACACCTAGATGTTCCTCAATAAAGCGTTCTTCGTCGTAAAACGACGAA